GCTTCAGTCATCACATGGCTGTATCTCTGTCTGGCAGCAGCTTCCCCTCATTCAAATCCTCTGCCTGAGAGCCCTTTGACAAAGCCTCATACTGGCCACTGCATCTAATGCTAAAAACCTTAACATCGTTGCCAAAGGATATTGTCCATCCAAAGCCCCTAGTTCTTCCAAACCTCCCAGTGCTCTGTTATGAACAGAAGTCGGGAAAAGAGCCCACTTCAGACCACATGTGATTAATGAGCTTTGCAGAGAAGCTCCATCTTCATCAGAAGTGGATTCACTGTGAAGTTAATGAACTTAGGCTTCAGTTTCATTTACTTGCACGGGCTCTTTCCAAGACCATGGTGAAGGTCCTAGAAAGACTGTGTTGTCTTCATAATTAAGACTGCCACATCCTTCTTTAGCTTCCTCTCTACGATGTTTCCTCTGTGCCAAGGGGCCATAGTGGTTGCAGGAATTTTAAGGATCCAGCAAAAGAGACTGAGTGCAAATACACTTCATTTATGCTTATTGGGATGCAGGTAGGTGGTCTCTAATCACTTTGATGTATAGCTATTTTATTTAGTTATATTAAGACATTCAGATTTTGGAATGGGCTCCAAGAATATTCCTGCCACCATGGTATGGACTTCCCAGTGTCATAACATGAAGGCATAAGACCAGAGGTGATTTAAATATAACCTGCAACACCCACCAGTGAAATAAGTCTAACATGTATGGAACTGGAAGCAGCTCTGTGAAAAATTCTTCCAACCATCAGACGTGAGTTTTTACGAAGATCTAGTCAGAACAGAATTTCTCTCTGGTCAGCAATACACTTAATAATGCAGCATATACAGTAAAAAATGGACCATCATGCATTGTTTGATAAACTGACTAATAAGAAGAGTATATGATATGAATACTTTAGAAAAAATACTTCTGCCTAAATTTTTTGCTACTTGGACATTCAACACTGACCCTAATGAAGATAACGTAAGCTTCATAACATCCTACTACTGTGAGTCTCATTAATTAAAAAATTATGTATTCCCCACATAAGAACACTTAAAAAGCCATGAACTCTTATAGCCCATATGTTAAAGAAACTTAATTGGGGCTTTCTCAAATTTGACAATAATTTGAAAATTGTAATTACCAATAATGTCATGTAGGCCAGGCTCGGTGGCTCATGCCTGTAATCCCAGCACGTTGGGAGGCTGAGGTGGGTGGATTACAAAGTCAAGAGTTTAATACCAGCCTGGCCAATATGGTAAAACCCTTTCTCTACTAAAAATACAAAAATTAGCCAGGCATGGTGGTGGGCGTCTGTAATCCTAACTACTTGGGAGGCTGAGGCAGGAGAATTGCTGGAACCCGGGAGGTGGAGGTTGCAGTGAGCCAAAATCACGCCACTGGACTCCAGCCTGGGCAACAGAACAAGACTCAGAGTTGGAAAAAATTAAAAAAAAAAAAGTCATTCAAATCTGAAATAAAATTTTCTAAATTATAAATAATAATTTTAAAAATCAGGGCTGGGCATGGTGGTTCATGCCTGTAATCCCAGAGCTTTGGGAGGCTGAGGGGGGCTGATTACTTGAGGTCAGGATTTTGAGACTAGCCTGGCCCACATAATGAAATCCCATCTCTACTAATACAAAAATTAGCCAGGCGTGGCGGTGGGCACCTGTAGTTTCAGCTACTCAGGAGGCTGAGGCAGGAGAATCACTTGAACCCAGGAAGCAGAGGTTGCAGTGAGCTGAGATCATACCACTGCACTGCACTCCAGCCTGGGCAACAGAGTGAGACTCCATCTCAAAAACAACTATAATAATAATAATTTAAAAAATCAATCACGCAGCCTGGTGTGGTGGTTCACAGCATTTTGGGAAGCTGAGGTGGGTGGATCACTGAGATTAGCAGTTTGAGCCCAGCCAGGCCAACATGGTGAAACACAGTCTCTACTAAAATTACAACAATTAGCCGGGCGTGGTGGCAGATACCTGTAATCCCAGCTACTTGGGAGGCTGAGGCATGAGAATTATTTGAACCTGGGAGGCGGAGGTTGCAGTGAGCTGAGATCATGCCACTGCACTCCAGCCTGGGCGACAGAATGAGACTGTCTCAAAAAAAAAAAAAAAAAAAAATCAGTCATGCTAAAGGAAAAACTGAATGATCTTTCTGATTCAATATAGAAGTAAGATTGTGTAAGCTGAGGAGGGGCTGTAAAAAAGGGAAAGATTCTAAAATTGTTGTCTTGTGAAGAGAAGATCAAATCGTTTGCAGCTAAAACATGTAGGGAAAAAAGTATCATAGAAGTGAGTTAGGCAAATAATTAATAAACATGCTAATTAATAGCATGTTACTTACCCACATTTGTATGATGTTTGTAGTATTTGTTAGTCCAAAACTCTGCTAATATTTTGAGATTTTAAACAAGTTCTAGGCCAGGCACTGTGGCTTATGCCTGTAATCCCAACACTTTGGGAGATTGAGGTGAGTGGATCGCCTGAGGTTGGGAGTTCAAAACTAGCCTTGCCAACATGGTGAAACCTCCCTCTCTACTAAAAACACAAACATTAGCTGGGTGTGGTCGCATGCATCTGTAGTCTTAGCTACTGAGGAGGCCAAGGCAGGAGAACTGCTTGAACGTGGGAGGTGGAGGTTGCAGTGAGCTGAAATCACACCACTGCATGCCAGCCTGGGTGACAGAGTAAGACCCTGTCTGAAAAAAATAAAAGACATTTTTAATGAATTTTCATTTTTGTAGCCTAACTTTGTATTAGTAACCTGAGTTTTTTTTTTTTTTTTAAGAACATCACCAAATATGTAGGAATTTCAGGCCCTTAAAAATCTACCTCTGCCTTTGGTCTTCATTCATTTATTCAACAAATATTTGTTGAATTCCTACCATGTGTCAGGCACTGGAGCTAGGAGCACAGCAGTAAGCAAATCAGACACAAAGAGCCTTGTGGAACTTCTGCCTGCAGTTCCAGAGCCTCTCCCGAAGAGTTACATCAACTCCTGGCCCTCATCTGCCAAATTGTAGGAGCTTAAATGTGGTTTTGGGGCTCAAGGGAAAACAAACAGCATACTAGCTGCCCTGTCTGCCTCTTTCTCTAGTTTATGGCTCCTCTCTGGGGAAAGAGTTTCTTCTCTTTCGGGGCACATATCTCTCACGGGTCTACTCCATATTGTCTTTATTCCAGTGCCCAGGCTGAGGGAACTGTCCCTGCACGGGACATGAGGTCTTGTGGCACAGGGAAAAGAGAGGGGACAGACCACATGAGGGCTTTTAAAGCATCTGCTTGGAGTGGTATCCATCACTGCCACTCACATTTCATTGGCTGGCCAAAGCAAGTCCCATGACCAAGTCTGAAGCCAGTGTGGGAACTATAGTTCTCCAATAAGGAAGCTGTACTTATTTGTAACAATAATGCAGTCTACCTCATAAGCTGGGATTGATTAGGGATAAAGATATTTTTGTTATCATTTCTTTAGAGATAAAGAAATGTTAGAGTCCTCTCCGGAATGTTGGTTCAAATGTCCATTTGTAGAATATAGTTGAAAACTAACAATCACACATTTTGGATATGTTGCTACCATTTCTTTAGAGATAAAGAAATGTTAGAGCCTTCTCCAGAATGTTGGCTTTCAAATGTCCATTTGTAGAATATAGTTGAAAACTAACAATCACACATTTAATTAAATAAAATGCATTATTAACAGAAATGTCATGTATCTCTTTTAACTCTATTAGAATATGTTACATTTATGACTTGCATAATATTTATTTTGGACAGCACTGATCTATACTCTATTTTAAAGTACTTCACATGGTGAAAACAGGAACAAGATGGGCATGATACCACACACTGAATCTACCAGATCTTGTGAGAACTCACCACCAGAAGGACAGCACCATGAGGGATCAACCCTCATGACCCACCAGGACCTACCTCCCACCAGGCCCAACGTCCAACACTGGGATTCAACTTGGGATTTGGTGGGGACTATATTCAAACCATATCCACATCACTTCCTTTAATGTATATGTTTATAATTTGGTTTTCACTTCTGGATGAAAGGAAAGGAATAGCTACGTTTTCTCTTAACACTCTCAATAGAAGTCTCCTTTCTTGTAGACATTGAGAAAATTGTTCTGTTGTCATGAATCAACCAAAGCATTGCAAGACAGTTTCCAATATCAGCAAGGTGAGGGAATTTTCATTAACTGTGAAAAAAAAAAAAGAAGAAGAATCTGAGGCGTTGGTTTTCTGATTTTTAAGTATTTAATGTTAAGCAAACCTACATGGTAGGACAATTTGTTCATGTAACCCAGAGGAGTGCTTTGTGGTTAATTCATGTGGTAGGTCCCTAATTACATTGAAGTTTATATCCCTAACACGTACCACAGAGCTGGGCAGGTCATATGCAGTCCATAAATATTTGCTGAATTGAATTAAAGGTGGCTGTCTAGAAGCCTGTATTGTATGGGGCTGTGTCAGGGGGAGAGTAGGTACTGGAGGAGATAGTGGAGTAAAAATGGGGCAAGGAGCACTCAACACAGAATGGCAAGAGTTCTGGTGGTATCCACACAAAATGCTGAGATGAGTTTAAAGGTCTCTCAGCAATTCCATACTTAAAAATAGACACTACAAGCCGGATGCAGTGGCTCATGCCTGTAATCTCAGCACTTTCAGAGGCTGAGGCAGGAGGATCACTTGAGGTTAGGAGTTCAAGATCAGCCTGGCCAACACGGTGAAACCCCGTCTCTACCAAAGCATACAAAAATTAGCCTGGTACATGCCCATAATCCCAGCTACTTGGGAAGCTGGGGCAGGAGAATTGCTTGAACCTGGGAGGCAGAGGTTGCAGTGAGCCGAGATCGCACCACTGTACTCCAGCCTGGCACCTGGTGACAGAAGAAGACTCAGTCTAAAAAAAAAGACATTATGTAGTAATATAAAAGCCATTCTTAGCCAATAGAGTGGTCTTAAAAATCCTTAGTATTAAAACATTGTGTGTTTTATTTTACAGATACAAAGGAAGTTTTTCTTAGTCTGGTCTTGACATAATACTATCCCGTTTAGATGCCCCAAATCTTCGAAGAAACTGGATGATGTGAAAGCATATCCAGGTCCTCAAGAGAGATGCAAATTACCCCACCAGCTGTGTTCCCTCATGTTAGGAAAAAGAGAGTTCAATATATTTCTTGTCAAATACAAAATCTTAGAAGGCTGAAACACATTAACTAGAAAAGGGAATGCAATTTGGATTCAACTACCTGCTCTCATGAAAGGTAACAATAGTTAATAATGTTTGCAATTCACAGGATGTTAGAGATAAAAGAGTCCTCAAATATCCTCCAGCAAAATCTCTCTCCTTTTACTAATGGGCAAACTAAGGACAGGAGAAGAAAGATAAGTCAAGTCTTCAGTCTCATGCTGTGATCTGAAGGTGAGTGATAAAATCACTGTCAAGAGAGCCTTTCCAACCAATAGTGATCCCGGAGTTCATGAGGGAAACACATTCTTAAATCTGAACTAGTAACTTCAAGATATTACCAAATTCTTTTTTCACTCTTATTCTTCAATTTCCAGTAATTTAGCACTCTGTTAACTATATAATAATCTAAAAAGTTCAGAAATAAGCTGGACACAGTGACTCATGCCTATAGTCCTAGCACTTTGGGAGGCTGAGGTGTGCAGATCACTTGAGCCTAGGAGTTCAAGACCAGCCTGGGCAACATGATGAAACCATGTCTATATATAAAAAAAAAAAATTAGCCTGGTATGGTAGTATGAGTCTGTAGTCCTAGCTACTTGGGAGGCTGAGGTGGGAGGATCATTTGAGCCCAGGAGCTGGAGGCTGCAGTGAGCCATGATTGCTCTAATGCACTCCAGCCTGGGCAACAGAATGAGAGCCCGTCTAAATAAATAAATGAAATCTACTCTAAGGGTGGCTGGCAAGATGGCCAAATAGGAACAGCTCCGGTCTACAGCTCCCAGTGAGGACAACTCAGAAGGCAGGTGATTTCTGCATTTCTCTCTCTCTCTCTCTTTTTTCAGACGGAGTTTCACTGTTGTTGCCCAGGCTGGTGAGCAGTGGCACAATCTTGGCTCACTGCAACCTCCGCCTCCAGGGTTCAAGCAATTCTCCTACCTCAGCCTCCTAAGTAGCTGGGATTACAGGCGTGCACCATCACGCCCAGCTAATTTTGTATTTTCAGTAGAAATGAGGTTTCACCATGTTGGCCAGGCTGGTCTTGAACTCCTGATCTCAAGTGATCCACCCACTTCAGCCTCCCAAAATGCAGGGATTACAAGTGTGAGTCACCATGTCCAGCCTGCATTTCCAACTGAGGCACCCGGCTCATCTCATTGGGACTGGCTAGACAGTGGGTGCAGCCCATGGAGGGTGAGCCAAAGCAGAGTGGGGCATTGCCTCACCCAGGAAGCACAAGGAGTTGGGGAACTTCCTCCCCTAGCCAAGGAAAGCCATGAGGGACTGTGCCGTTAGGGACAGAGCACTCGGGTTCCGATACTACACTTTTCCCACAGTCTTTGCAACCTGCAGACCAGGAGATTCCCTCAGGTACCTACACCGCCAGGGCCCTGTGTTTCAAGCACAAAACTGGGCAGCCTTTTGGGAAGACACTGAGCTATCTATAAAAGTTTTTTTTCATACCCCAGCGGTGCCTGGAATGCCAGAGAGACAGAACTGTTCACTCCCCTGGAAAGGGGGCTGAAGCTGGGGAGCCAAGTGGTCTAGCTCAGTGGGTCCCACTCCCATGGAACTCAGCAAGCTAAGATCCACTGACTTGAAATTCTTGCTCAGCACAGCAGTCTGAAGTCAACCTGGGATGCTAGAGCTTGGTGGGGGGAGGGGTGCCCCCCACTAAGAGGCTTGAGTAGGTAGTTTCCCCCTTGCTGCATAAACAAAACCTCTGAGAAGTTGGAACTGGGTGGAGCCCACTGCAGCCTGGCAAAGCTGTTGTAGCCAGACTACCGCTCTAGATTCCTCCTCTCTGGGCAGGGCATCTCTGAAAGAAAGGCAACAGCTCCAGTCAGGGGCTTATAGATAAATTTCCCATCTCCCTGGAACAGAGAAGTGGGTGAATGATATGAACAGACACTTTTCAAAAGAAGACATTTATGCTGCCAACAAACATGAAAAAAAACTCATCATCACTGGTCATTAGAGAAATGCAATCAAAATCACAATAAGATACCATCTCAGTTAGAATGGTCATCATTAAAAAGTCAGGAAACAACAGAGGCTAGAGAGGATGTGGAGAAATAGGAATGCTTTTACACTGTTGATGGGAGTGTAAAGTAGTTCAATCACTGTGGAAGATAGTGTGATGATTGCTTAAGGATCTAGAACTAGAAATACCATTTGACCCAGCAATCCCATTACTGGGTATATAACCAAAGGATTATACATCATTCTACTATAAAGACACATGCACATGTATGTTGGTTGCAGCACTATTCACGGTAGTAAAGACTTGGAAACAACCCAAATGCCCATCAATGACAGACTGGATAAAGAAAATGTGGCACATGTACACCATGGAATAGTATGCAACCATAAAAAAGGATGAGTTCATGTCCTTTGCAGGGACATGGATGAAGCTGGAAACCATCATTCTCAGCAAACTAACACAAAAATAGCAAACCGATCACTGCGTGTTCTCACTCATGGGAGTTGAACAATGAGAACACATGGACACAGGGAGGGGAACATCACACACCAGGTCTGTCAGGGGTTGGGGGGCTAGGGGAGGGACAGCATTAGGAGAAATACCTAATGTAGACGATGGGGTGATGGGTGCAGCAAACCACCATGGCACGTGTATAACTATGTAACAAACCTGCACGTTCCGCACGTGTACCCCAGAACTGAATGTATTAAAAGGAAAAAAAACTTCAAAATGACACAAGAACAAAAAACCAAACACCACATGTTCTTACTCATAAGTGGCTGTTGAACAATAAGAACACATGGAGGCAGGGAGGGGAACATCACCCACCAGGGCCTGTCGGAGGGTGGGAAGTTAGGGGAGGGAAAGCAGGAGGTTGGGGGGTAGTGGAGGGCCTGGGTAATAAGAGCGAAACTCCGTCTCAAAAAGAAAAGAAAAGAAAAGCACTGTTTGGAATTTTAATTTACATAGAACTCATTCTTCACAATCAGGTTAAGTATGAACTTTTTTAAAGGACATATATTCTAAGTACTGGAATTTTATCTTTTCTAGATTTATCATATCTCAGTGATTACGTGGGTCTTTGTTTTTTGAGTACTTTTCAGCAGACACTTGAAAACAATGGAAATATCTCCAATAAAAACATCGGCGAGACACTGCCACACCGTGCTACCAAGAAAACCACTCGCGAGCCTATGTAAATCATACCATCTACAAACACAAAACACAACAGTTTTCCTTGAGATTACTTTTAGGAAATAAATAAATCTCACATCCTAGAAGCCAAAACAAAAATAATCATTAAATCTGAGGTTGTTTTTTTTTAAATATGTACAGGAGCTGAATAAAAAAATACAAATGCAAACAACAAACTGGAAAAAAATATGACATGTGAGACAAGAAAGGCTTCCCTGACACACACAGGCCTTGCACACAGCAGGAGAGGGCAGCCAGCGACTGGGCAGACAGCACACGGAGCCACACAGAGGGGAAGGCCCAAAGCCATGCACCTGCAGTTGGTCTCTCCACCACCTATTCTGTCACCTGTCACTGATTTTATCACCAACATAAGAATGGTATCTCAGCTAACAGACGCTCAATCAACATTTGTGGAATTCATAAATAACAATGTGTTTAACCCACTAATCATTAAAGAAATGTGTATTAAAAAGCATAACACGTGGTCTTATCAGATAGGCCAAGATTTTAAAAGGCTGTCAACAAAGCAATGGGAACATACATATCCTTAAATACGCCAATGGGAATAAAACCAAGACGCCTAGGAGAAATGCTATGTAGATGACAGGGTGACGGGTGCAGCAAATCACCATGGCACATGTGTACCTATGTAACAAACCTGCACGTTCTGCACATGTACCCCAGAACTTAATGTATAATAAATAAAAAGAAAGTTCAAGAATTGTGCACACAATTTGGCCACTTCAAAAAGGAACACAAATGGTAAGAAACATGTGTATATACAATCTATGTGTGTACATATATATGCACACAACTATATGTTTATAAATATACACACATTTACACATATCAGCTCTTACATAAAGAGACATGATCAATAAACAGCATAAATGGAGCATCTACATTCTAAAATATCACTGCTATTAAATGTATTGGTAAAGAGGAATAAAGGCATATTTTCTACTTTTCAATATTCAAAGTGTTTGTGAAAATGTATCACTCTGTGCTTCTGGGTTCAGGTGTCAATTCTTGGATTTTGCGCTGTCTAGTAATAAGCCTTAAAATGATCTACCCTGAGGTGTTTGCTTAATAGGGATAATCCAAAATTGTTTGTAAAAGAATATAAACTTTTACTTAAAACATTTAAGGTACTCATCTTTTGTCAAAGTTTAGTGTTTTGGCTCTACCCTAATTCTTCTTCTACCCATTTTGTAAAGGAAAGTGGATGTGTTCATAAGCCTGTGCAGGACATCAAAGTCCAAACGTAAAAAATTACATTTTTTTTACATCTGGATCAAAGTCCAAAGTATCTTTACAATAATGTAAAGATGCTGTCAGGAAATTAATTCCACTGGAATTGGGTGTGTTTCAGAGTATTTCAATTATGTTGATTTCTGGTGATATGTGTTTTTGACTTTTGGACTTCACACACACACACACACACACGCAGCTCTAAGCCAATGCATACTAGAATTTTGTATTATTACAAAAAAGAACCATATTATTAAGGAAGTGCATTATTGCTTAGAGATTAGTGGTTTGATTCCTGAATATGAATATAAAACTTTAAGGTAGCATAGCAGAGAGATTGCAAACATGGACATGGGTTCTATTACTTCCTAGCTGCAACCAGGGCAAGTTATTTAATCTGTGCCTCAATTTCCTCATCTATAAAATTGGAAGAATCATAGTACTTACTTCATGGAGTTGCTACTGTTTGTAAAGTGCTTAGAATAGTGTGTAGTTCACAGTAAATACTTTGTGTGTGTTTGTCATTATTATTACAAGGTCATCCTCTACAAGGATTACCAACAATTTGACTCTACATCTCCTGTATGGTGGTGAAAGATATTGCTAAGTCATTGTATTCATGATCAGCAGGCAAAATTATCTGTCTTCTGCCCTCCTGACCTGTCTGTGGACCACTTTCCCTCACCATTATTCACACAGAATTGACGCTGGGCTCTGATACCTGCATTACTTGGTCATTTGAAAACAATATTTTAATGCAAGGTTTTTTTTTCTTTTCCTTTTCCTTTTTTTTTTTCTTTTTTTTTAAGATACAGGGTCTCGCTATGTTGCCCAGGCAGGAGTGCAGTGACTATTCACAGGTGCCATCCCACTACTGATCAGTACCGGAGTTTTGACCGGCTCTGTTTCTAACCTGGGCCGGTTCAACCCTCCTTAGGCAACCTGGTGTTACCCTGCTCCCAGGAGGTCACCATATTGATGCCGAACTCAGTGCAGACTCCCAATCAGCATAGCGCACTACAGCCCAGAACTCCTGGGCTCAAGCATCCTCCCACCGCAGCCTCCCGAGTAGCTGGAACTACAGGCATGCGCCACCACGCCTGGCAATGCAAGATTTCATTGAGTGAATCTGGTTTTGCGTCTTTGTCCTAGTTTGAGTGGCCATAACAAAATGTCATAAACTGGGTGGCTTAACCAACAGAAAGTTTTTTTCTTGCAGTTCTAGAGGCTGAGATTCCAAGAACGGGTGCCTGAATGATCAGGGTCTGGTGAGGCCTCTCTTCCTGCTTTGAAGATGGTCACCCTCTGACTGTGTCTTCACACAGAGAGGAGAGACAGACAGAGAGCAAGCTCTCTGGTGTTATCAGGGTCCTAATCCCACCAGGTCCCTTCATTCTCAGGACCCATCTAAATCTCATTACTCACAAATACCTCATCTCCAAATATGAGCATATTGGGGGTTAGGACTTCAACATAGAAACTTTACGGAGCACAATTCGGTCCATAGCAATTAGGAAACCCACACGTATCAGACTTTTCTTTCTTCCAGATGTTTGTAGATGATAACATGGTCATGAAGAGAAAGGAGAGAAATATGTCCACCTGCTCCCTAAACCTCTGCTCTTCTTGATGCGTCTTGACTCACATGACACTGCGTCTTCTCATGATTTTGCTGAACCACTTCGAGTTTTCCTCTCAAATTGCTAGGTCAAAGTTTTCTTCTGACTAAGGAATACTTTTTATTTATTTCTTTCTTTATTTTTAGAGACAGAGTATTGTTCTGTCACCCAGTCTGGAGTGCAGTGGTGCAATCACGGCTCATGACAAGCTTCACCTCCCAGGCTCAAGCAATCTTCCTACCTCTCAGCCTCTCGAGTAGCTGAGACTATAGGCCTGAGCCATCACACCTGGCTAATGTTTGTATTTTTTGTATAGATGGAGTTTTGCCGTGTTTCCAGGCTGGTCTTGACTCTGGGGCTCAAGCAATCCACATGCCTTAGCCTCCTAAAGACTACAGGTTATGAGCCACCATGCCTGGCCAAGAAATACTTTTAATAATATAATTGAAATTAACTATACTAAACAAACAATGGTTAATTTTTAAAAACGAAATCATTGATATAGGTTGAATTGTGTCCCCGCAAAAAAGACATGTTGAAGCCTCTAACTCCCATTATTTCAGAACGGGTCATTATTTGAAATAGGACAGTTGCCCATGTAATTAGTTGAGGGAGGGAGTGCTTATAGGAAAATGGCTGGAAGACAGGATTGGAGCCTGTCATGTACCAGCCAAGGAAGGCCAAATATTGCTTACAAACTACCAGAAGAGAGGAAGAGGCAAAGAAGGATTTCCCTACAGGTGTTCTGGGGTAAAATGGCCTTGCGGACCACACCTCGATTTCAGATTTCCAGCTTCCAGAACTATAAAAGGATACGTTTCTGTTGTTTTAAGCCACCCAGTTTGAAGCACCTTGTTAGGACAGCCCGGGAAACCAATTGGAATGTAATAGAATAGTTAAAGGCACTTAACATTCTTACTTAGTTTGTACTCACACTTTTTCTTTTTAAAATATTGTGAGAAAACAAAAGATAATCAGATTCTACTCTTTATTTTTAAAATTCAAGGCTACAGAGTGAGTCACAGCAATAAGCTCTTCAAAGTCAAACAAAGATGAAGGTAAATGTGTCGTTTTATTTAATCCAAGAAAAAAAAGAAAGGCTTTGCCACACAGTATGGCTTATTGCCAGAGGAGTTGTTGGGAAAATAGTTAAGTACATTAAAAATGACATTTACAGAAGCAACTATCAAATTATTTGTGGAATATATTTAAAATTAAATTCTCATTCCCAATCCCAATATGAAAGAACATTATTAATATTGTTTATGATGTTAATTATGCAAAGTAGATGGAGGATGGTAGACTTATAAGCAAATTGACAATTTAGACAGAAATGACACTTGGCCGGGCATGGTGGCTCATGGCTGTAATCCCAACATTTTGAGAGGCCAAGGTGGGTGGATCGCTTGAGTCCAGGAGTTTGAGACCAGCCTGGGCAACATGGCGAAACCTTGTTTCTACAAAAAATACAAAAAAAAATTAGCCAGATATGGTGGCTCATGACTGTAGTCCCAGCTACTCTGAGGCTGACGTGGGAGGATCGCCTGAGCCCGGGAAGTGGTTGAGGCTGCAGTAAACGGTGGTCACTCCATTTCACTCCTGGGCAATAGAGCAAGACCCTGTCTCAAAAAAAAAAAAAAAAAAAGAAAAGAAAACTAAAAAGAAAGAAACTCCCGGAAAGTCTAAGAGGTATTTTGAAGAGTTCTTCAACTGCTTGAAATAGGGGGAGAATATTGGAGATTCACAGAGGTTTCTAAAACCTTACACTTTGCTAAAACTGTTTTCCATATTTAAAACATTTGTTTACATCCCGTCACATCATCAAATAAAACATACCCTATATTGACTTATATGGAGAAATCCAAGAATGTCCAAGTCAGGTTCTTTTGTGTCTAACTAACCTCTGTTCAACACTGAAAGCAGAAAGTCCTGAAGGAAGAGGTAATTGTAGAACAAACAAGACCCAACTGAGGTATGACTTGTTACTTAGCAGTCATTTATGTAGGAATGAAAGGGAATATACACTAAACAGTAACCTGTTTTACCCCCTAAAAATACTCATTGATAAGAATGTCCTGCAAAGATATGGTCAAGAAAATATACCACATATAATACACTTTTCTTCACAAATTCTAAGGGAGTAATGAGTGCCTCTTCCCTCTAGACAGGTTAGATTTAGTACCTACCATGTGCTGAGAACACACCATGGAAATATACAAGCAAAGGCCCTACTGTCACAGAGCTTACATTACGGTAGATGACACAAAAAAATAGACCTTGTTCTACAGTATGTTCTATCAAGTTGTTTGAATATTTAATTTTCCATTGAAATGATGATTTTCATCATAGAAGTGAATTTGATGATTTCTCAAATTTATAGATTTAGGACCTTACTTTATTTTATTTAAAGATGGTTTCACTCCATCACCCAGGATGAAGAGAATGCAGTGGCACTATCATGGCTCACTGAAGCCTCCACCTCCTGGGCTCAAGCGACCCTCCCAAATCAGCCTTCTGAGTAGCTGGGATCACAGGTGTGCAGCACCATGCCTGGCTAATTTTTGGATTTTTTTGTAGAATCAGGGTCTCACTATGTTGCTCA